ATAAACTCGTCATTGAAGCTTTTAAATATCGCCCTTTAGATGTCTTAGTTCTAATGAGCGATTTAAAAAATTTGAGCTTACCGTATTCATGTATTGCGGAATTTTTTCACCTTCAAAGTTACCTTGATTTGCAGGAGCCTAGCGGCCTTTAATTCTGCCGCAAGGTCTTTGTTTCTGTATCAGTATAGTAARTTATTTTTCATTGTTACGCCGATGCGTGGGATTTAAATACGTTCAACMTTGGCTTCATAAGAAGCCGTAAAGTTGTAAAAATGAGTCATAAACGGGAACTCGCTCGTCCGACAAAGCAAAGAATCAAACTCAATCATAACTAAAAATACATTAGATAGTCTTAAGGTAGAAATTAAGAACTCGTTTGGAAGCTGGAAACGGCCTTCTTCTTTGTGCACTGACAAGGGAACAGCATGACATGATACCGTAAATAACTAGGCAGACGAGCTAACACTACTAACGGACCAATCAGACTCCACAAGCGATACAATATTGACATCTTACTCCTTTGATGTAAATCCAGTATTTTCTATAATTTTTTATGAAATTTTCTGTTCATCATTTTAACCGAAGAAGTAGGAAAAATGAGTCATTAGTTTAAATAGCGATTGTTGCTTTTATGTTCTCGATATGTTGCAGTAAACACAGTCGCGCGCGCGAGGATATTTTTCCCGCCAAAACTCCTTTAAAATGTAAGAAAAACACCAATAATTAAATCGATGTTCAGCATGAAGCAAACATCTTGAAAAAAATAAGAAGCAGTAATATATCCCTATTGAGCACTATTGATTGCTAAAAACTTCCAATTACATTATAAATTGTCTACGTTTCACCATTACTGCATGGACTTACCAAAACCGTCAGGTTTTTGAATAAAAAAAGGTACTGTTCTCTTGTCACAACCAGGCTTCTTGCTGGTCAACAAACAAACCCAGAGCTCTAGGCCTGGTGTAGTCGATCAGATAACAAATCCTGTGTGGTTTCTCTGGATCTACTTCTAGTTTCTATTCATTAGTATATCTACCATTCATTTTATCATGAATTGTTCAGAAATTTGCGATATGCAAGGCTCCCAACTTTTGTRTCTAATGAAAAATTCCTCACCCGAGAATTTCTTACGCGTAGCAATGACCAGTAAAAGAATAGTTAAAATAAACCTGTGAACTTTCAAACAACGAAAGAAGAAATTATATAGTGGCTTAGACATGACTAAGTATCTTATAGTTATGAGTTTTCTGAATAGCTGATACGATTAATGCAAAAGAAACCGTTTTTCATGAAAATATTCAAAACAGAAATTACTCAATTAACAATGTTTAAATTTTAATTT